AGCTGGTCAAGTTGCTCACTACAGGCGTGGTGACCGCTCTAGCGAAGTTTTAACCTATATTCTGATATGTGTTTTCGATGACTAGAAAGGGTTGCTTAGGTTTGGTTGTAATACCGATTACCCTACAGCATGATTCAAAAATATTTGCATTTTCGAATAAACTGGAACACACGCATCCCAAGCGATTTTAATTTGAAGAAGAGGTTCTTTTGGGATAAAAAGTAATTTTCATGAGTTTATTTTCGAGTTTGGTGCCCCAATTCGTCTTCGGACCAACAGGATAAGTGCAATGAACAACTAAAATTTCATAACTGCCGAAAAAAATCAATAGTTATATGAGGTGAGACGTAATTGGTAGGTGTGGCCTCAGTTTGCCTCTGTCGTGCGGCCTCTGCCTTTTCCATCGTTCTTTGACGTGCTTATAAATACGATCCAACTCTACGTGCCGGTTGATGCATGAATCGTCGGAATGCATGGCTTCGAGGAATTCTCTGCGCTCAGTACTGAGGCACTCAGTACAAAAAATAACCAACTGAGTAATATGACTTTTTGCTATTGACATTCGATGCCTCAACAAATTCGGATGGATTTTAAAGAAATATGCACAAACATATGCTTTCTTGTACTCATTTGGTTGACAAACATATCGCCTTTGAAATGTTTTATCCGGAAAAAGGTTCTCTTTTAGTTTTTATCCCGAAAAGGTTTTAATTGTGATGTTTTAAAGAAACTGTGCAATGGCCATTGACATCATAACATCATATGTGCTTTCATTAATGCCCCTCATTAAATATAAAACATCCGCTGCAAAGTCTAATGAGCACTATCCACTATCATCTTAAGGACATAGATATATGCTAGTCCTTATATGGAAGGTATAGAGCTTGCAGACTGTAAAGCGCAAACGCAAGTGCAGGAATAGATCCAGCTCAGTTCTTCTCCTCCTCTTCCTACGATCGCCAAAGGAATTTTTGTATGTTAAGTATGCTGATACTGTGTTTGTTAGCCATCCTCTCAAAAGTCACATACATCTGCAAGTACTGAAAGATGGCATGGACCACATCTCAGCATGGTCGTCAGTAAATGGCCTTCTACTTAACGACCAGAAGTCAGTCCACGGTGTTTTTCGATTGCGACCCTCTCCCAGTCCTGATATTATAGATATTCTGCCCAATGAGGTATCCTCTTTTTGGTACCTTGGTGTTGCTCTGGCATCTAACCTCTCATTTACTCTACATCTTGAAGGCCTGCTTATTAAAATTCATAAACTGGTATATTATATCCCCGTTTGCGTTTATATCGCACACCGCAAGCCCCAATCTGGCGATTTACGGATGCCTGCATTGTTCCCCTTTATTCTTTGCTGCTCTCCATTTATTTTCCTAGCCTTATTTAAAAAGACCTGGTCACTTTTAAAAGTATCCTTCGAATGCCGACGTTTCCTATGTTTCTTTATCTGATATTATAATACAACGACACTTTAAAACGGTCAAGCAATTTGCTGATGGCATTCTTGGTGAGGTCGCTCATCCTTTCTATCCTGAAATAATGGCTGCGAAGTCTTCCCGTACAGTGTGCCAAAGCTTCCATCATATGTCTGGCCATACATCGGCACATCAGCACTCTATACTTCTACAGCACTCTATATTCCTAGCACGCTACCTCCCGCATGAAGAAACCGAA